GTCTGGGCCCAGGACTGAACTGGGCTGCTAGAGTGGAGTGCACCAAACTTAACCACTAGGCCACTGGGGTTGGCCTCAAAGGGCTATTTTTTATTTATGACACAAGTATTTTTTAGCAGGTTTCAGGTACATCTGCAGGTAATGTTAAAGAAAAAGATATTCAATGGCACTTGTTCAAGATGGTAAGGCAGACGTTATTCAGAACCATTGTGAAAGGTACAGGGCCCACTGTAATGGGATTTTAAGGTTGGGGGTAGAGATAAGAAAGTGGGAATTTATAGCCAAGTAGCAGTGGGTCCGGGGGAGGTCAGTGGATTTTAAATTATTATGAGGAAACCTCAGGGGTAAGGAGATGTGGCTTAACTGACCTGACAAGACTCTTACTGAAGACAGGCCAGGGTGAGTGGACATCTCCTGGGGGATGGTGGAGGATGAGGAACCTCAGCAGACATCGAGTGACCAGATATTAAGGGTGGGGGCTTCTGGTTAAACTGATATAGCAGGGTTCTTGCTAAAAAGTAAATTTTACAAGGAAGTGCACAGATGGACCTAGGAGAAGGTTCAGGAGCCTGATTAAAGTTAGGTCAATCAAAGAATCTTTGTCAGTGATTAGGATACAGTTCCCCAGAAAATGAGGGGAAGACCTGTGACCAGAAGCCTGCCTCCCAGACCAGCTCAGTGCTGCTCTCACTTGGTGAAAAGTAATTCTACTTTCACCTCTAATTTCAGCCCAAACCCTCCATTTATTTATATCCTTTTGCATTGGGAACTGGAAAAGCCACTCTTGGGGGTAGAAAATTGCTATAGATGATCAAAGTTAGTTTTAATGAAGTTAGTAAAAAAAAAGGGGGGGGGTCCTTCTAGTTTTTGAGTCCATTTGTTTTTGAATAGATAAAGAATAAAACAACCACTTAGAGAAAAGATCTCTAACCCCCTGGAGGTAACAGAAGATGCTACTCAAATATGACTGTAGGAGTTCAGGACAAGGCGCCTCAAAATACGCTGCTTTGAAATATTGATTATTTTAAGGTGTAGGCACTTTGAAAACAGCCAATGCAAGGAGAGGCTTTCTCTGAACTCCCCTAATCTACCTGGAGACAGATCCTACAAAAGGAACTCAATTGTCATAAATCCGCTCCCTGGCAGTTGCATCAACCAGGAAGGATTGACTCTTATCACAGGAGAGGAGGCTAGAAATAGACATCACACCCAGAGAAACTTTGTCAAATATTATAACACCTCCCAACTAATCTTTTCTAAAAATCATTTACTCTCCCCAAAGAGGCCTATATCCTTCATTCCCTTTCCCTATTAAAATAGTGTTTAGCCCAAATTCTAAGCGACCTCAGGAGTTACTCATTTTTCTCTGGGTTTCTCCCTTGCATACATGAGGTATACATGATAATAAACTTCTGGTTGTTTTTCTGTTCTTAATGAGTCTTTTAGTACAGGGACCTCAGCTTAGAGCACAGAAAGGTAGAAGGAAAATCATTTTCCTCCCCTAAACCCCAATGTGCAGCGGAAGAGCAAAGTGACTTTTGTCCTCTCCAAATCCACAGTTGGAATGTGCTCAGAAAACAGAATCTCCAGTTCTAGTCATTATTTATTATATCCTTATGCACAAAGAAGGCCTTGAGAAAGATAAGTGACTTATTATGTGTCTCAGAAGCTGGCTTTAATTCTAATTCACAGCTTTGGAACTTTAGGAAGGTGAAAAGAGGACTGGAAAAATGGGAAATGCTGGATACAGAAGCTTGACTGGCTGTTCATTTCCTCACTGCACATCTTTCCTATTAACATAATTAAACCTTAATTAAAACTGAGATAATTTCTGAGCCAAACAATTGTTGTAATTGTGGAGGGAGAAAAATGTTGTACTTCAGGGACTGAGATTCTGCAGAGAATTTCTTTCTCCCTGCCAAGGTGATAACTTGGAAAATTGGAGTCTCGGCTATAGTTTATGTCAGCCAAGAGCTCTACAAATCCAGAAGGTACAAATATGGTCTAGGGGACCTCACCCGCAAGAAGGACTAACAAATGCTTTGACTGCACAGCAAGTACCAGAGTGGTACACCTGACCAATTCTTTTATTGCTTCTCTCTTTGGCTAAGAGAGGGAGTTCGTGAGAGGGGTCTGCGAGCCTGACCACCTGGACTCTTCTGATCTTTCAAAGGTAAGGCCCTGCAGCCAGAAAGAGGATAGAGACTAGTTTCAGCATATGTGACTCCAGGAATGCTTGAGTATTTTGTCCCTGAGTTCAAGATCTGGTACCACAAGAGAACTCTGGGGTGGGTTCTCACATAAGGTTGCTATTTTCTTTTACCCAGCAATCACTACGACAGCATTTTTTTCAAGTTTCTAAGAACAACTCTGTTTTCTTCAAACTCCATTTTTACCTGCATTGTGAATCTGTCAGCATTATTAGTTTTTATAAAATTGGTATACCTCATTTTGGTGCATTTCTGTCTTTTGCATATGAGCCAACTTTGTCTTTCCCATTATGTTGCAAATTCCCCAAGAGCATGTGTTTAATTTAAAGGTTTTCTTCCTGCATCTATCCTTAAAGTCTCCTGTCTTAATACACTGTTATACCACATGTGTAAGTTAACTTCATTCACTATATGCCAGCTTGATGGGGACACCAAATAACAATAATTATGATTAAAATTATAGGTGCTTCTTGGAAAATTCCTACTTTTTTAATTGATGGGTTGTGAGGCACTATAACTTTAGGCAATCCACTTTAATTTTACCATATTCTTATGTAGTAGAAAGAACTAATCTCATCTTTTAGTTGAGACAACAAACTGAGATGGATGCACTTACTTGCCTAAGCTAGTAAGTGTTAGATCCAGATTGGGCATTACACATCATTCTGAATGTAAAGAATGCCTTTTTAAATAATTTACTTTAACATGTCCAAAAGATAATCTGGGAGGGTCTCCATCCCTCCCTCCTCTGACAATGTTCAGCTGGAAAGAAAGAGAAGTGATTTATTAGATGACACAGAAACTGGCACCAATTCTGACCAGAGCTTTGAAATTTGGGGAAGGGAAAGAGAAGGCTGGAAAAATAGGAAACCCTAGATGGGGATAAAAAAAAAAAAACAAATGGGAATATATTTGATAAGGGCATTTTGATAAGGGCATATCAGGGCATTGAGGTGTATTGAGTGCAGTCATTTTTAACAGACTCCAGGGCTTTGAGTAAATATTTAATCAATTCTTATTCAAGAATACTGGTTAATAGTGATGTTTTTTCTGTTAGGCTGGCAGTTTATTTCACTAAGTGCTAGGCATTTAGGGTCATGTAATACTTTCTGTAACACTTTGGTGCAGTTGTTTGTCTCCTCATTTGTGGGGAAGGAAATGGAGGCTGAAGCCAATAACCAATTTTCCCCGAGCCATGAGGCTACCTGGTAGCAAACCTGGATACAAGACTAGGTTCATGCAGTTCATGTTGCCAGAGAACTTCAAGACAAGATAAACTTAAGACAAGCCCCTAATGACTGGCAAGATATGGAGGGAGGATGAAGGCTTGTAGAAAATGTTTTCTAAGTATATAAGACATATGCATGTCCTGGAAGTTAAATCAAACATTCTGGTTTCTCTGGCTTTGAAAAAATTATCAGTAGTTTGATATAAATTTCTATTTGAGAAATGAGATTCAAGAGGTTGGTGGTGAAAGAGTAAATTCTTATCCAGCCTGAAAGAGTGAAAATCAGCTTGGACTGATAAAGGTCAAGTCGGTCCTATTGTTAACTAGGTTGGGAGAATAGACACAGGTAAAGCCTGCAGCTAAATTACCTGAAAACATCTCCAAAGCAGCTGTAAATGCCATAGTGACTCCCTGATTGAGTGATTACTCTTTTCTTACCAGTGATACCCCACCCACTTTGCTATATTCAGTGATTATTGGGGATCCCTAATTCATAAACTACCTTTGTCTCATGACAGCACCCAAGTCCTAGTCAATCAGCTTTTCCTAATTCCTCTTGGGAAACATCAACACATCCTGAACTGATCCAGGCTTCCCTTATAGTCTCCGCAGATTCCTCAGTGGGACTCAGACCTCTCATAAACACCCTTGTAGGGCAGCATTCCAAGGTTCCCCTAGACACTTGCCCAGGCTGCATCCAGTCAGTAAATCTGATTTGATTCAACCCACAAGCTTGTTTCTCGAGATCTTTGGCTGACTGGGCTTTAAAAGTTGGGACCATGCCATTTAATTTGCTGCTGGAAACCAGGAAACTTGCTGAAAATTTATAAGCAGTGAACTCACAGAAAAATTTTGTGATTTTCAAAGACAACTCTGGAAATATTAAGGTGTATGTATTATAGATATAGATATTAGAATCGGGAGACAAACCAGGAAATTGTTATACTAATCAAAATGAGATATACAATGGATATTAAACATAAGAAAGGGCACTTTGAAAGATGAAACAAGGTTAAATTTGTGAGATATAAAAGAAGTTGAAGCAATGGGATTTTTGAAGTTTCTGTTGTGGGGTGTGGGGAGGAGGCAGGGATAAGGATGAGCCCCCAGTTTTTGGAATTGGCTGATGGGAATATCATAAAATGAATTCAGAAACACAGGGTTAAATTCAGGTTGAGGTAATTTGTAGTTCAATTCAGCACTTGCTGAGATTGAACATATGTGGGATATGTAAAGATTTGAACAACTAGGCTGGTTTTGCTGGTATGGAACTTAGTAAAAAGTCTGTGTTGCAATTTTTAATTGTTGAATACTCATCTTCAAGATGGTATTTCAAGCCATATAGAATCACCCACAAGAACTGCCCACAGGGAAAGGAATAGAGTTCTTTGGACAAAAATCTGCTACATTACATATATCATGACCTTTGAGTCAGTGTTCCTGACACACCAGAAAAACCCTGTGAAATGAATTATTCTTTGCAGATACATATCATCACTACTATTGCTTTCTTCAAGAGGTGTTGACTGGATCCAAAGATTCTTCTGCCCATGAAGTAAGAAATGGCTTTGATAATTATTAAAGGAATAATATTCCTCTTTATAACTGGATCCGGTATTATGGGGAACAGTTTTGTTTTCATCAATTATATATACATTTTCTTTCAGGGCACTGAAAAGAAATCGGTACATCTAATTCTCATGCACTTAGCTTTTGCAAATACCATAGTGCTTTTTTTCAAAGGAATGCCAAAGATAATAGCAACTTTTGGTTTGATAAGCTTCCTAAACGATACAGGCTGTAAAATTGTTATTTATCTGGAAAGGGTGGCTCGGGGACTTTCACTCTGCATGACCAGTTTCCTCACTGTGGTCCAGGCCATCACCATCATCCCCAGCGCCCCCGAGTGGGCAAAGCTGAAGCCAAGGTCCAAATGGCATATCCTTTGCTTCTTTCTCTTCTTCTGGATATTCAATTCCTTGCTAAGCATGAACTTACTCTATTACATCCAAAGCATCAGCAGCATGAACAGCTCACAAAATAGTGACAATAACAGATATTGTTATTTTATACCAGAAAGCCAGAAAATGAAGTGGATTTTTCTCATTCTAATGGGCATACGAGATGCCCTGTGTCAGTGTCTAATGGGCTGGGCAAGTGTCTACATGGTATTTCTTCTCCACAAGCACCACAAGCATGTCCTCTACCTTCAGAACTCCAAGGTTCTCTACCGAACTCCCCCTGAGATCAGAGCCGCTCAAAGTGTTCTCCTTCTGATGCTTTGTTTTCTTTTCTTTTATTGGACAGATTGTATTTTTTCTTTATATTTTAATTCCTCTTTTGATAATAACTTTATAGAATTAAATATTCTAGAAATTCTAAACCTTGGTTATGCATCTCTCAGCCCATTTGTGCTAATTCACAGACATGGATGATTTATTGAATGCTGGAACATTTATTAAGACTTGAGAAAATGTCTATTTCATCAATCCTTTAGGTAGCAAGTCTGAAATAACAGTTATGTTATGCTGTGTGTAAAAAAAAAAATGAAGAGTAGCTTAAACACATAAAAGTAGATTGTCCTACAAGCAACCTGGTGACAAGCAGCCTTGAGCTGACACAGGAGATCATAATGAGCTACAGGGACCCAGTCACCTTCTCACTGTCCATTCTGCCACCTTCAGGAAGTGTACGCCATTCTAACTCTCCTGCTTGTAAGGTGTCTCTTTCACTACCACGCTTTCAGTAGTAAGAAGAAAAAGAACAATTTGGCAAATTCTATCAAAATAATAATGCACTCACCCTTTGACTCAGGAGTTCCACTTCTAGGATGATCATACACATACATTGTGTGTGTGAGAATTACAGTACAAAAATTATTACACATTGCAGCATTATTTTAAAAACATAGCCTAAATGTCCAGCAAAAGGGCTATTTTTCTGGCTATTTGAAAATATTCTAGAGGAACCAGCCACACAAAAGGATTTTATTGAACTTATGAAAGAATGGGTGAATTCAAAATGTACTGATGAGCAATGATATCCAAGGTGTGTTTGTAATTAATTAAAGAAAGCAATGCAAGAATAATAATATTCAAAAGTGGAATATAATAATATTTTTAACTTCATGTTATCTACATCATGAATCTCGGCAAGAATAGAAAAGAAACTGAAAGAGTGTTACTTGATTTAAGAGAAACTAGGTAAATGGAGGCCAGTAGGTAGAATTTCATTCTATATTTTTCTTTATTTTCTGATTTGTTAAACATTTGACTATATCTTTTAAAAATGAATAAAAAATTAATTTTGAAAATAATTTGTGGCTTGTTTCAAGACATTATTTTTTAGTGCTCTGACACTCCCACAATAATATCAATCTCTCAATCAACAAAAAGCTATAAAATAATTTGGTTCTACATTAGTTTAAATAAGGAATTTTATTTTCATTTTTCTAAATTGGAATCAAAATAGGTATTTGGATATAATTCATAGTTCTGGCAATGAGATACATCATCAAGCTGTTTTGAAAAATACTTGATGCTATTGTACTGATTTCACATATTTATAATACAAAAATCTTAGAATTGATAGGGACAGCTTTCATCCCATTTTAAAGAATGCCTCTACAATATCTCTTCTGTGGCCCTTGTAAACATTTGGGCTTTTTACTTCTCTAATAAATTTTTCTTTGGTTTTGTTGTACCATGTTCACACAGCTTTTAAATAACTTAGTTATGTTATTATGTTATATTCTAATATGTTCAGGAGCTTAACTTCCTCATATCACTCTGGGTACTTGAAAGCCAGGACTATGCTGTTTATCTTAGCTTCATAACTTTTCTGTGACAACCTTTTCTATCATAGAGAACGAGACAAAGTAAGCACTCCCTGAAGTGGTCATTGGTAAAGGACTCAAAAGGAAGGGATGTAAGAGCCTGAAAATGAAATTAAGAATAGCATTTTAAAATTTAATTATGAAGAAGAGATTATTGAGCACTAAAAATAGGCAGAAAGTCTCCAGAGAAATAAGGAGATGTGTGATTTGTGGCAAAAAATGGTTAGAATAGTGTATTAGTCAGGGTTCTCCAGAGAAATCAAATAAATAGGATATCTATATATAGTACATATAAAGGAGATTTATTATAGGAATTGGCTCACTCCATTGTGGAGGCAAAGAAGCCACACAATCCGCCATCTGCAAGATGGAGAACCAGGAAAGCCAGTGGTACAATTGAGTCTGAGTCCAAAGGCCTGAGAACCAAAGCATTCCTGGTTTAAGTACCCAAGTCTGAAGGCCCAAGAACCAGGAGGCCCCCATATCGGAGGGCAGGAGAAGATGAATGTCCCATCTCAAGAAGGGACAAAGAATTTACCCTTTCTTCACCTTTTTCTTCCATTTGGGCCCCCAACAGATTGGCCAATGCCTGCTCACATTGATGAGGGGAGTTTCCTACTCAGTCTACTGAATCAGATGCTAATCTCTTCCAGGAACACCGTCATAGACACGTTTAGTTCTACCAGCTGTGTGGGCATCCCTTAGTCAGTCAAGCTGACACATAAAATTAACTATCACAGATACCCTGAAATTTGGGTTCTCCAAATAAGTGCTCTTCTGTGTTTCCCTCTGAAAAGTCACAATTGAGCTGAGAAATTTAAATTGAATCTAGAATCTTAAGCAGAAAATAACTTAAAACAGAGAAAGACATTATTAAAATCATTACACATCTAAAGCAGTGGGAGGTAGGAAGCAGAAATTGGTAATACTGAATTTTAGAACACACTGACATGGCAGATAGTCACATCAACTACCTCTCACCTCTTGTGTATTTATAGTTTTTGTTATTAGTAAAATAGAAGTAGAAAGATGAATTCTGCATCAATTTTGCCTGTGAAATCTTATGTAAGTTTTGAAGTAATAATAACTGAAAATGTCTCAAATTTCGTGAAATACATATGCTTGTAGATTCAAAAAGCTCAGAGAATTCTAAGCATATAGACTCAAAAATGTTTATACCTGGACTAGTCATACTCAAGTTTCACAAAATAAGACAAAGGACATATCTTGAAAGTGGCCAGAGATAAATGATACATTGCCCACAGAGGAACAATGATTCTTAAAGGACAGTGGATTTCTTAGAAGAAACCATGGACCTGAGATAAAACTTCATTGATCATCTAACTCCATTAAGTTCCTACTCTGACTGGTGGTCTAACATGACACTTTGAATCTCTAGGAATTACTGTCAGTTCAGAGCTGATGTCTACGAACCTCTGAAAAGTCTGATTATATTACTTTATCCGTTATCTAGTCACTCTAGTAAATGACTGCAGGTCTCTTTGGGGATGGCTGGGATGAAGATTATCAGTGTATGTTTTGGGCAATGTAGCAGAGTTCCCTCATGGGGACCTTATCTTCCTCATCTTTCGAGGTACTCCAGATCACTGAACTGGCTCAAGTCTGGGAATGATTTAGGATCCGTGATTATCCATGATGTTCTAGTGATTCAAGTAGGATTTATATCCACAAGACCTGGAGTTTTTCTCCTTATCCAGATAAGTAAGACTTTAGTAGACTTCTCACAAACATCAGTTCTACAGGACCATAATTAACTAGTCAATGCCAAAGATTTCTGTGAGTCAGACCATTCTGATTAATGTTCATTAAGGTAACCATACCCACCTTGTCTTCGGTGTCTTTGGTGACTGAGTGCCACCACTTTGTATATATCATTCTGGGATCAAATCACTGTCACTGTGTTTAGGGATTCCAGTTCAATGGTAGTAGCTCCTAATTTAATTTTAGATTTGTAGGGCAGAATCTCGACAAAGCTCTTCTAGGATTGATTATGCAACTGTCAGCCCTTTTGTGCTGATTCACAGAGATGGACATCTGGCTGAATGTTGGTACGCTCATTAAGACTTAAGAAAATGTCTGTTTCATTGATCCCTTAGAGAAAAATTTTGAAATAACAGTCTTTTATGCTTTGTGTAAAAAGAAAGTGAAGTAAGAGTAGCTTAAACATATGATGGTCTATTGTCATACAGCTTAAACATATGATGGTCTATTGTCATACAACAAACTGGTGACTAGCAGCCCTGAGCTGACATAGGAGATCATACTAAGCTACAGGGATCCCGCCATTTTCTCATTGTCCATTCTGCCACCCTGCAGAAGTGGCTTTAAATTCTCCCTATGACAAGACGGCTCTTTTACTACCAAGTTTCCAGTAGTAAGGAGGAGAAGAAAAATTTGGCAAATTCTATCAAAATAATAATGTATTCATCCTTTGATTCAGGAGTTCCACTTCTACAGTGATCATACACATATATAGTTCATGCGAGAATTACAGTACAAAAATTACTACGCATTGCAGCACTATTTTTAAAAACCTAATCTAATTATCCAGCAAAAAGGGCTGTTTCTTTGGCTATTTGAAAATATCCTAGAGGATCCATCCACACAAAGAGATTTTATTGAACTTATGAAAGAATGAGTGACTTAAAAATGTATTGATATGAAATAATATCCATGGTGAAACTGTAATTAATAAAAGAAAGAAATGTAAGAATAATAGTATTCAAAAATGGAATATAACAATATTTTTAAATTGATGTTATCTACATCATGAATCTCTGAAAAAATACAAAAGAAACTAAAAGAGTGTTACCGGCATGCGCTGTAGTAAGGATTTGGGCGCTGCCTGGTTTGCTACCCAGGTTCTTGAGGTTGGGGGTCTTGTTCTGACACCGAGGGCGCTGGACTGGGGAGTCTGTCACTCTTGGTGGCAGGTGGGCATCTTGGGGCCCACATGAGCCAATGGCTTCATGCCTGCCGCGGCCAGGTCCACGGACCCCTCTTTTCCAGACATTCTTCAGCCAAGAGGAAGGGCAGAAACCACGTTCCCGAAAGAGTTTGGAGAAGAATCTTGCTCCAGAAGAACCTTTTTACCCCTTGGATGTTTCGAGCAAAATCTGAGAGCAGAATGAAGAACTTGGACTGATTATTGATTTAACACACACTCACCACTAATACAAGCCAGAGCATTCCCATTTATACCCCCTCTTCCCCCCGCTCACCCCCTCCAGGTGCCCCACAAGCCTCCCAAGGAGCGACTCTGGACCCTTGGGCACATACCTCCTGCCCTCGTGGAGCAGCGACCCAGTGCTCACGTGCTCCCACCGCTCTCCCGCCCTGTGATCGATTCTTCCAGTGGATTTTTCTTGTGTGCTTTGGATGATGGCGATGTTTAGAGAGGGCAGAAACAGACCAGGTGGATTGAGGAGGCCCTGGCAGGCCCCTCAAGTTAATGTTTATGAAGAGATGTTTTTCCGAAGAAAATATACAGGTGGCCAAGAGGCTCATGAAAAGATGTTCAACGTAACTAGTTTTTAGGGAAATGCATTCAAAACTAAAATGAGTTATCACCTCCTCCCC